GTTAGGATTACCTCTCTACGCGGTAGTGTAGTTGGGGTTGTTTTGTTCTTCTCTACACGGAAGTGTAGATAGGATTGTTTCTTGTTACCCACTCTATGCAGTAGTGTAGTTTGGTCTGCTTCTCTCTTCTCTACGCGGAAGTGTAGTGAGGATCACCTCGCTACAGGGTAGTATAGCTTGGGTGTTCTTGTTCCTTACCACAGAGTAGTGTGGCTTAGTTTTCTGTCATCCTCTCTACGCGGAAGCGTAGTTAGGATTATCTCACCATGCGGTAGTGTGGCTTGGTTTGTTTTGTTCCTCGCTACGCGAAAGTGTAGTTAGGATTACCTCTTTACACGGTAGTGTAGTTTGGGTTATTTTGTACTCCTCTCTATGCGGAAGTGTAGCTAGGATCACCGTGCTACACAGTAGAGTAGTTTGGTTGCCCTTATTCCTCGCTACACGGAAGTGTAGTTAGGATTATCTTGTCACGCGGTAGTATGGCTTGGTTTGTTTTGTTCCTCGCTACGCAGAAGTATAGTTAGGATTACCTCTCTACGCGGTAGTGTAGTTGGGGTTGTTTTGGTCCTTTCTCTGCGGAAGTGTAGTTAGGATTGTTTCTTGTTACCCATTCTATGCGGTAGTGTAGTTTGGTTTGTTTCTTGCCTCTCTACGCGGAAGTGTAGTTTGGGCTTATCTCTTGTTAACCTTTCTGCACGGGGATGTAGTTGGGATTTGTTTCTTGTACGCAGAAGCGTAGGTAAGATTGCTCTCTTTTATTGATTTCAATTGTTGCATTGCTTTGAATCTCATTTTCATAATTTTCAGGCTGTATGCTCGCTTTTATTTGCATTGCATCATACATATCACTTCGCATTCGGCCCCTGAACAACGCTGGTTTGATTCCTTACAAAGGGATACGTAGGCAACCCTTGGGTTCAACCAATTTATTTTATGTCTTAATTGTTTGCCTAAATCTTATGGCCTTGTCAAAATAGGTCGTCTCTGCGCTTTGACATTCACACACGTCATTTCATGACTTCGAGCTCTGTCAAAGAGAGGCAACTGTAGACACCCTATTTTTGACCGCCCTTAAGACTTGGGCACCACACATTGATCACCTAATGATCAAGTTTCACGCTTGTCAAATGCTCGATTTCCTCAGCAGAAAGCCTCGGTTTTGAGCCTCAAAAGCCTACAAAGCTTGCACCATTTTTGGACCGAAGCAGCAGTTTTTCAAGCCTGACCACCTATGGGCCTGCAGGCCACTTGGTGGCTGGCCGACCACAAATGAGTGTACAACCGTCCCCTTAGTGGCCGGCTGGCCGACCACTTGTGTTAATAAAACTAGATATTTTTGTCAGTTGTGCCAGTTGTCTCCACATGTGCATGCACTACACCAGCTGTTTCTATATTGATATTTCTGAGAGTTTAACATAATTTTCTATATATACTTGACCCCCTCTGATAAAATTAGGTTAGAAAATTTTGGAGAAGTAAATTCATGAAGAAAATATATCGCTCTCTCTTTACCGCGTAACCTACACATACCTTACCTAGACCTCCTAAAGAAAATTTCAAGAGTTCTTTGTTGAAGTTATTGAGCTTGAATATTAGCTTTTGAGGGTGAGAAATTGGTGGTTTATAACTCAAGGTGTTACTCCTCTTCAAGAGGTATAATCCCTAGCTTCTTTCCCTCATTTATTTACCATCTTAGTTGTTATTTTTGGACTCCTTTTCAACTATTTTTATGTGCTGAAACTTATGGTCAAGAGCTATCCAAGGTAGAGGGGTGGACCACCCTTATTTTTACCTTGCATTCCAAGCTCTTGCCCTTGCGTTTCTCATCTTTTCATCAACTTTTGTGGGGCTTTTTACCACTGAATTTTAGAAGTTTCCAGAGACTAAAAATGTGGTTTTGAGGTCCCCAAAATGGAGGGGTTAGCCATCCCTCCTTGTGCTTATTTATTAGCTCTATTTCTTCATCCTTGTAACTAGCTTTTTTCAAACTTTTCCATGTGATTTTCAATGTTATTTTTGACTGTTTTATGTTGTTCCTTCCATTTATGCTTTGTATAGTATGTTTGTAGTGTAATAGTTTTCATAGGTTTGATGTTTTAGGCATCAGACACCAACCTATTTGAGTTGATAGCATTTGTTTAGTGCTTTCCATGATTTTATTCATCTCTAATCACCTCTACACTCTCCCTCTTTTATTGGCTTTTTCTTTGCTTTGAGAGTCGTTTCAACCGATTGTTGTTTAAGTTTGAGATAGAGATCCTTGTGCTTAATGATTTAATCTCTTTGGAGGTTCATTACCAAAGGCATGACATCTCTCTCATGCCCAAAACAACCCTTTGTTTGACACTTCTCTCCATTAGTAGACTTATGCTCATTCTTGGACTAAATTGACTAATGAATGAAAAGGTAAATAAAAGAGGTAATAACATTAGACTAAGAGGTAACAAGATAATAAAATGGTTTGGGATTCAATCGGACATTAATTGAACCCATTGAGTCATGAGTCGTTTCATACTTGTCAGTGATGAAAACGGTTCAAGAGTTAATGCCAACCACTTTCCTTGATCCAAATCGTGAGAGGGAAGCGGTTTGTGAGTCTTTTCGTTGTCATTCATTGAGATTATATCCCTTGGTTCTTAAGTCATCACGCAATGAATTTGCATCGATTGATGGCTTGCAAATCAAGCCTACCACTCCTTTGACCTGTTTGATGATAAGGAGAGGCAGGGTAGACAACCATCCCTTGAAAATACTCTGTTTGTGCTCTGTTTCTTGTCTGTTAGAGCAGGGCAGTATCAAACATTAGTGGCCGGCCAACCACATTACTATACGGTCGACCACTTCTTCTGGTCGGCTAACCACTTTTTTCAGCCTGGCAGCGTCCTTTTCTTACAGAATAGAGTAGAGGCTGAGGCAAAAACAGTTGAATTTTCTGACTGTGCAACAGAAGCGTTTTGGCAGCAGAACGGAGATCATTTTCGGGTGGAAATCCGCATTCATGCATGAGCCCTCCCTCATTTCTCGGGGCCCATTAACATTATGTTTAATAATAGCAAACTTGTAACTAATTAGTTAGTTTAATTACTTAAAGTAGCTAGTTAATTTTGTATTGTAAATAATTAGCTATCGTAATTAATTTATTTCATTTGATTTGTAATAGTTAGTTAATTCATAGTAATTGCTAGGACATTTATTTGGACCCCCCTGCGTGAGGGCAAAATTATAATATTGTGTATGTCTTCCAACCCTACATCTTTCTCCCTTTATTTACCCGCTTATAATGGTAGCATCGTGTTTTACATTTTTTGTATCTTTACCATGCTTACCGTATCCATTTTTTGCATACACTTGGCTTGGCGCATCATTCTACCCATGTGGTTGTTTATTATCCAAGAAAACGTGCTTAACTGCATACTATCAAATTGCTTCACATGCCATGTTAGTAGCCGAGCCTATTATTTGCATCTCGTATGTGTTGCATTAGTCATTTGCATTGTTAGAATCATGAATTTTTTCTAATCATTTTATTTTCTTTGGCTTGCCTCGGAAGACTGGGTGAGTACTTATTGCTTTAGCATATCGCATATATGTGATTGTTGTCATATCAAGCATATCTTCCATGAGGCTAAGTGCTTAAGTGATATATCTGTTTTGAATGCCTGTGGATGAAGGCTAATTGCTCAAATTGTGATAACTTGATCAATATATATATGAGATCACTTTTTTTCAAGTGGTACATATTCAAACAATTTTCAAACATACAACAAATCAAAGTGTTCCAACTTTTACAAATTAGTCCATACTTGTGTGCATGACATAGTAAAGATAGCCTAATAAATCAGAACAAAAGCATATATTATAAATAAGAATCACATCATGATTAGTAAAGGCCGATATTTGATCGGGCGAGTGGGGTGCTCAATTCATGACCTTTCCCTCTCGTGCCTAAGTTCCCGAACCGAGACACTTTGGTGATGACGGATAAGTGGCCTTTGGCACGAGTTTCGGATTTTCTAAATTTCCTAAAACAATATTTAGGTGGCGACTCTGTAATCTGGCAAAGCAATCCATTTTTTGTATTTTTGATTCAAAATTGATTTCCAAAAGATTTGTCGAATTTGGACCCATTTGTGTTTATCTATTTCACATTGCATCTGTGAAATCAAATTCAGAACCATGGAATTCCGAACTATAGGGCTATTGTATCCGAAAGAAGCACGAAAAGCAAGCTACAATTAGTAACCGTCACAACCAAAGTCTCCCAACTTTCGGAAAAGGAACTAAGTAACATCAAAACCTACAACTCATCATCCAAAATAATTTTTATAGAAGCAAGTTGGTTAACAATACTCTTTATTTCATTCAAATGTTCTAGAATGGAGTCGCCATCTTTATATTTTAAATTAACCAACTTTAGAAATAGAAATATTTTATTTGTGGCTGATTTTTTTGTCATAAAAACCTTCTAATTTTTTCCATAAATCATGTGCTAAAGTTTCAGTAGCAACACGATGAAACACACTGTCATCGATCCATTAACGGATGACACCAACGGCTTTTTGATTAAGCATCTTCCATTCATCATCTTTTATACCCTCATGTTTGCCACTATCAACCTCAATAGATCCATAAAAATCTTTAAAAAATAATAAGTCGTCCATTTTAGTTTTCCAAATTAAACCTTCTAATTTTTTCCATAAATCATGTGCTAAAGTTTCAGTAGCAACACGATGAAACACACACTACAAGAAATTAAGGTTTTAAAGGCAAATTTTTAGGGACAAAAATAATTTGTCTGCAAAAATTATACTTTTTAAGGACAAAATGAAAGAATTTAAAATATATATATATTTAATCATATTGTTACATTTTCTAGACAAAGTTACTTAGTTGCAAAAAGATCAATCACTATTCCCTACAATTTTAATTGGTTCCTAATAAACCCAAATCACATATTATTGTATTTTATATATTAATTTTTGAACTTAATAATCGGGACTATCAAAAAACAAAAATAAAAAAAGCATCAGTTTCATTACTCACTCTCTCCCTCTCTCTCAAATCCCTAAATTCTGTTCATATATCAGGTTTCAAATCCCTAATTTCTTTTCATCACTCACTGTCTACGGATTCGATATTCTGATCTGTGGTTCATCATTGTCTCATAGCATCTCTCTCCGTTGCCGCGTCATCTCTCTCGATTCTCCGATTTCCCGGCGACTCTCCGGTAGCGATTCCGATTAGGTACCATTATATATGTGTATACATACATGTATGTATCCGTATAATCGATTTGATATCTCAGTTTTAGCCATGTATAGATTCATGTGTTTGTTCAATCAAATTTACCAAATTGAAATATGCAGATCTAAGTAATGATTTTCCATACTTCATCTTCTAGTAGGTAAGAATACCAGAAAGTAAGCGAGCAAAGAGGTTTACATTATTGTGGACTCAAAATTGCATCTAAATCTACCTAAAAACATTTTCGTGTTTGATCCTTAACAGTAGCGTGCAAGACTAGTCTCAAGTTAAATTAGTTCTGTATTGGTGTTGAATAGATAACTCAGAGCTCCTTGTGTTCAGTGATTTGTAATCAAGTGTATTGGTTGAATGAATTGTGACATAATAAAGTGGAAAATAGAAACTACCTGATTTTGCCGGATGAAATCATTTCATTCATTCTTGAAATCCTCTGAATTTGCTGGATGAAATCTTTTTGCACCCCCTCTGTCCTTTAAATTTGCTGTATGATTTCATGTCATTGGTTTGGTTACCACAGATTTAAGCAAATTTTGAGGAAGGTTGAAACACAAATTTGTTACTAAGAAGAGTAGAGAATGAAAATATCAGGAACTATATTCATTGTGTGGATTGGGAAATCTCACATGTTTCCCCTTGATACACAGCTCTACACACCTAGTAATCCGCTAAACTACATCTTTTAGGTGTAAGTCTGTTTCTGTTAACAGAGCAAGGGTATATATATAGGACTTGAGAGCATCATTAATGTGGGATCAAATATACTAGAGACTTGTTTAATGTTACTTTTGTAAGCAACCTAAGTTTGATTCATAGTGTTTAGTCACATCTCTACCCACATCTTATTGATTTACTTTAGTGTTTGTTAAAGCTTTACAAAAACTGTATTGTTGACCAAATAATTTTGATTATGGAAAACAACAAAATTTTATCTATGAAGGAACATGAGTTAAACATTTTAATGAATATCAAAGCATTTGGACCTACAATGCAATGCCTATGCATGTGCAAGGTATAAATAAAGGAATCAGGACTATACCCAACCCAACTGTCAAAGGCCATAGATAGTTATATAGGTTGAGTGAAATTAATGTTGTTCTTTTTCTATGTGTTGAAGAGTTCTTGAATTGCCAATATGAATCTTATTTATTTTTTTCAAAAATACAAATCTATACAAATCTACTTGATGTTATTTACTGAATGTGCCATTTTACTAAGGATATTTTGCATCTTTGAATATTAGTTGTGAAAAGCTCTCCTTGCAATTATGCTTAACTGGAAGTCTGGGACTAAGGAGTGATGATGAATCCACAGGAGTAACATATTTGCATGTATGCTAATGTATAATTAAAGATTACTCTGCAAAACCCTGTTATTCTGTGTGGTTAAGAGTTGTAGTAGTTTCATTTAATGTTTCCAAATGTTGACTAATTTGGGCAATTGAATTACTTAAACCAGAGGCAGTTTGGCAAATTTGTGAAAACTTTGTTCTTGTTAGGTGTACTATAATTTATGTATTTCCTTTATTTTGAGAGCTAGTCTTGAGGGCTGTAAGTGAGTTGGTCAGTAGCAGTTTCAATTCTGTAGTAAAAGGGAAATTGTAAAGAAATTTGCATATGGTAACTTGCGTTGTGCATAATCCACTATATAATTTGTCCATCTGATGACACTTCTGATTGGCAGTGAAACTTGGACCAGATCTGTTGGGATGTGATCAAATGTAATTATTTTTCTTTCTTAATGGCAAGACTATCTTGCAGCACTGGCAACGACTGACTTGGCTTATAGTGTCATCTTAGACCATACTCTTGTGGAAAAGGAGCGCAGGTTTGTACCATGTGCTTAGTTATGCTACTGTTAATTAATTTTATTTTATTTTTGTTGGTAAGATATATGTAATCCTATGTAGTTCTTTAAGTGTGCAGATTTTCATTTTCTATTATGATTTTTACACAGAATTTGAAGTTTCTGTTGAAATAACTTCACTTGAACAAAATGGAACCTAACACACTTCTTACAAAAAACTCTACATGTTATATCTTGGCATTCTGATGATGACAAGCTTTATGGACCAACTCCGGAAATCGCCTCAATTTCCTTTGTTACCACCCCACAACAATTTTATATCTGTCTTCAATATTTTATGCACTGGAAGAATGCACTGCATGATTTTGCTTAATTTTTGGTTACTTGTACTAAATCTAATGGTATATACTGTCTATTAATATATATGCATAAGTATATATGCAGTGTAGAAATATATGATATATATACCCTCAGCTTCTCAACAGGTATGCCCACAAGAGGCAGAGGATGAGCAGGGTATGTACCTAGACCCCATGCGCCTACACCCCATGCATCCACTAAATCAGTTCGCTCATCTACTCAATCAACACCTGGACTTCATGCATCCATTAAATCAGTTCGATCATCTACGCTGCACCCATTTACATCAGAATCGGTACATGAAGTTACATCACAAGTTTCACACTCGGATACTTCTAGCACACATTCCAGCACTGATGGTTTGTAAATATTTTAAGTTTATGTTTTGTTTTGGTTGGTGGTCTCGTCTTTTCAATCTATATATTAACATGAAACTTTTTCATTGTTTCTAGTAGGCACATCCAAGGGTAAGAGAGGACGTGGGAAGTCACGAAGCTTGCTCTAGATGCGTACAGGGTTAGGGTTTGATTGAGCTGACTCAGGTGGGTTTTGACTTCTTTAGGTGTTTTGTGGTTTTTCAAAAATGTGGAGGGATGCTGGAACTCCTGCTGATTCTTTCTGAGGTTCGGCCCAAATGCACCGATGTTTCTAAAACCAAATTCCAAATCAAGGTTTGTTAATTCTTCAAATGCTAATTGTTTTCTTTGACATACCCATGATTGTTAATTGCTGAATTTCAATCAATATTGTTGTGAACCTAGTCCACATTGTTGCTTTTTTTATATTTGGAATTAATAATTAAAGCACTAGATTGTTGGTTGACTTTTGCTTATATTACTTGACCATTCTGGATTGTGATATTGGTCTGTTCATTATTAATATATTGTTGATTATGTATAACATTGAAACAAGAGGAAGCTGAAAATATTTACAAGGATATGGCTTTTCTCTGGGTGACTAATATCTTTGATTACATGAGAGGCTTCAAAAACAGAGCAAACACCATAAATGTGTCCATGTATTTTGAGATTAGGTCTGGAAATTAAATAGATTACTAATTTCAATTGACCTCAAAATTGCTTTGATGACTGAGTTGAGGAGTACATAGGTAATCATTTTTCATCTTGTTTTCACAACATCAATGTAAACTGTGTCTATCTTTGGAATAATTATTTTCAAATTTTTGTAGCAAGTTGATTTAGTTTAATCTTTGTTAACTCTTGAATATTTACAAACCATCAGTGCTGATATTGAATCGGTACAAGTTTCACATTGATAGTGAATTTTGGGCGGCTTTGTGTGCTAATATTTATGTGTGATTGCTGCAGATACTACAATTGGCACTTTAAATTGCAATCTATTAAATTAATCTATCATTAGATAATTTTTAATTGGTAATCTATTTGAGAGTTTGGCCTATTCTATGCAGGTCCTACAAGCTTGCGTCGATTTGAAGCTTGGGAGTTCTTTGCTAGATTTTGAATGCCATTTCAACGAAACTATTGAGAAGAAGATGCAATGAGTTGAGTTGTGTTGTTATGTAGGTAGATATAACTCCAATTACAATATGTTGAATAGTAGAATGCTACAAACAATGCTTATGGTACTAGCCTTATAAATTGGAAATCATACTTTTGAAATCTCTGTCAGTTTATGATATATAATCAAAATATTACATACTAATAAATCAGAGCATGGTATTTGTTTGTTATTGAAATATCTTTTGATTAAGCTTCTTTGAATGTGATGAGCATTTTTTTTTTCGTGTAGTGGAATTTTAATTTGGAGATGAACAGATGGTCTGATGATATGTTTGATATTTTCTGTTTGGTTGTTGAGAAATCAAGAAAGGAATATAAGTTGATGTTCATACTAGTATTTTTAGAGTAATTGTCACAAAAAAATAAAAATAAAATAATAAATAAATAAATAATATCAAACTTTTAGAGACCAATTTTAGTTGTCTAAAAAAAATTATGACTTTTATACACCACTTCCATTTGTTCCAAAAAGTAAAACTTTTGGAGACCACTTTCATTTGTCTCAAAAAAAAACTTTTAGAGACCAATTTCGGTTGTCTCAAAAATTAATTTTTGTCTCCATAACTACTCCGATTGTTGAACTATAATTAGACTTTTAGAGACAAATTTTGGTTGTCTTAAAATCAAAACTTTTTGCAACTACATATTTGTCTCTAAAAGTCTATCTATAGTGACAAATGCAAAATTTTGTCTTTAAAAATCATTTTTTGACTTTTCCGGACGGGCCATTTGAGACAAACCTCGCGACGATGGAAATTGGTTGGCAAAAGTTTTTCCTAACAAATATTATACTTTTAGGAACGAAACAAATTTGTCCCTAAAAAGCTCATTTCTTGTAGTGGCACTGTCATCGATCTATTAACGGATGACACCAACGGCTTTTTGATTAAGCATCTTCCATTCATCATCTTTTATACCCTCATGTTTGCCACTATCAACCTCAATGGATCCATAAAAATCTTTAAAAAAATAATAAGTCCTCCATTTTAGTTTTCCAAATTACCCAATTGCTTCCATTGAAGCTAGACATACAACTTACATTCCCCTCTATTGATTTACACAAATAAATAAACCGTAAGCTCTAATACCCGTTGTTAGGGAAAATAGATGATTTCCCACAAGTAAATCAATCAATGAAAATAAAAACTAATACAAAAAAAAATCAAATCAACAACGACACAAGAATTTTTACGTGGTTCCCTCAATGTGAGGTATGTTTACGGGATCGAAATCGGATTCCACTATCAACAAAAAAGTTTCCAAACGATTACAAATGAGACACACATGGTCTCACAAACCACCCTTAGGTGAATTCTAAATAATCACAAATAAATAAAAGGAAGACCCCACTAAATAGATGAACAAAAGTCTTCGAAACAGATTTGTAGAAGACCCAAAATAATAACCCAAATCAACTCCAAATCAGAGATTGTGGCAGCATCAACAAATCAAACACAAATATGTGATATCATGAACTTAAAACATTATTCCATGAAAGGAAAAGATTTCCAAAAGAGAAAGAACCAAAAACAAAAAATCATATAGAAATGTTCATCACTTCAATTTCATACTCAAAATCTATCGTGGATATAACTCGGTAATTGAAGCTTCATTGATTGATACATGGGTAGATTTTCTTTTTGATTGACTAGACTCAGATGTTGACGAATTATACTCCTGGGGCAATGGTAACTCTGGGCCGATGCTACTACGCACAAAAAATGCTGGTTCTGAAGGTGGGGAAAGGGTGAGAGAGAAGCTATTAAGCATGAGAACAACTGTAGCCATGGTTGGTCTTGCAGCCACGTTTTCCTGTACACAGAGCAGCCCAATATGAATGCATCTTGTCATTTCTCGCAGCGAACCCGAACCATCCCTTAATGTGGGATCAATTATATTTGAAGATATTCCTTTCTGCCAACTTTTCCAAGCCTGCATGAATTCAATATGTGGAATAAGCTTTCATGGCCTAACAAATTTTATGGTACTGGTAAGCTATCATGGATACTCATACTTACAAAACATAAAAGGTCCTCTACATTCTCTCCATTGCGAAAACAATTATTCCTCTGACCACTCACAATTTCCAAAATTAAGACACCAAAACTAAACACATCTGACTTGACTGAGAATTGGCCATGCATTGCATACTCTGGAGCCATATATCCGCTGCATTGTTTAATATATAAGTTTCAAGAAAATTTCTATATCAAAAGTTGCATAAATGATGTATTATCACTATGTTGGTAAGACTCAAACTAACTCACATTTATGATTACAAAATATGATTTTATTTTTGTTTCTTATCAAAGCAAATTTATTTTTATTATTAATTTTTATTTTTGCAATGTTTGATCGACATATGAACCAAAACCATTTTGGAAATGAACAAAAAGAGAATTTTATTTATAATCATAAGATGTGGATAGAGTTAAAACTTACTAGGTTCCCACTATTCTGCTCGTATTTCCTTGAGTTTCATCAAGTACAAACAATCTCGCCATGCCAAAATCTGAAATTTTTGGATTCATCTCCGCATCTAACAAAACATTGCTAGCTTTGAGATCACGATGAATAATTCGAAGTCGTGAATCTTCATGAAGATAAAGAAGTCCTCGAGCAATGCCACCTATGATCTTGTAACGCCTATCCCAATCCAAATATGCACGGTTGATGGCATCTACAAATCCGTACGGTTGAATCAAAACCCAATTGAATGATCTTTTAAATGTGTTCTTCAATAATTTTAGTTTGTAACGAACCCTGTAATTTGGGGGTTATTTTGGTTATTGACCTTTCAATTGTGATACAACCCTAAATTTTGAATCTTATTCCAAATAAGGACAATTACATAATAACAATCAAAAAGCATCAACAAAAATAATCATTCATTACTACAAATCCGTACGGTTGAATCAAAACCCAATTGAATGATCTTTTAAATGTGTTCTTCAATAATTTTAGTTTGTAACGAACCCTGTAATTTGGGGGTTATTTTGGTTATTGACCTTTCAATTGTGATACAACCCTAAATTTTGAATCTTATTCTAAATAAGGACAATTACATAATAACAATCAAAAAGCATCAACAAAAATAACCATTCATTACATGATCATCATCCAAACATATACTAAAAATTAATTTGGTAAACAATATATATATATAAAAGATTTATCATTTTTATATAATTTTATCTATGGTGGATAGAAATAAATTTTAAAAATTCAAAAATAATTTTTTGACATTTGCTTTTGTCAAACTAATTTATATTTTATCAAAATGACGAGTTTACCCTTGAAATGGAGTATTTTCATTTGCAAAAAAAATGATATCTTTATTTGTCTTTATTTAAAACAAGATTCAAAATTCAAGATTCAATGTATTACAATTAAAAGGTCATGAACCACAGTAAGCCCGAAACTACAGAGCCTCTTGGTGCAATTCGCCCTTATAGTTTTGGTCTTTATCATATGATTAAATTGTTGTGTAGATCAAGATATATATTGTTTGTAGTGTTCTATGTTTGACACAAAGCTATGAAGTGTGCATATTTCAAATATTTGTTTAGATTAAGTTGAGAGAAAGACAATCTATAAACAAGCAGCATAGTAGTTTTACCAAATATGAAATGATCGAGGCTCGAATTCGTCACATATTCATAGATGAGAAGCCTTTCAGTTCCTTCCAAACAAAATCCCAAGAGCCTAACCAAATTCCTGTGTTGAAGCTTGGCCACCAACATAACCTCGTTCTTAAATTCTAATTCTCCTTGTCCAGAATCCCTAGAGAGTCTCTTCACAGCTATTTCTTGTCCATTTGGAAGCCTACCCTGAAGATATAATAGAGTTTATGTTGTACAAATGATACCACTATCAGCAAATAGAAAATTTCAGCATTTTATTTTAGTTATTTTTTCATTTCAGCACAAGGGATACACCATATTCAAAGGTAAATGTTTGATCGATTACCCTGTAAACAGCACCAAATCCACCTTGTCCAAGCTTATTAGCATCAGAGAAGTTATCTGTTGCAACGCTGATGGTATCAAAGTTGTATTGTAAGGATTCCACAATGCTAATTTCTTCCACAGCTTCACAAAATGAACAAGTTAACAATTATGTCAATAAAAGTTATAAATGAAAATATAGATCTTTTCGTAATGTTGTTGACTTTCTTCATATCATAAATATAGCCAACACAAATCGCATACCGAAATATCATCCAAAACTTATCCACAACTTGTTTTCAATGATGACAGAATAAATAGGTTAAGGAGGGATCTTTTAATTTTCCTTCCAATATTTACTTTAAGAAACAGGCTGAAGAATAGCATTTTGTAAATATTTTTTTGCTTCAAGGGAAGTGATTTGTTAGCAATTAAACTACACTTTCCACTAGTTCTGCATTATTTTGAATAGAGATAATTATCAATGCCATTCAAATCATTTAAAGATAATCTACTTGCATTTTTTATCAGTTAGTGGTTAACTACAAAAATAGAGATTAAAATCCACATAGAAGTTTAAATAAACCATATTAAACTTACTTTCAACTTTCTGCCTTGACTTCCTTTGCTTCCTCTTTCTTAAAAAGATGCAAATGCATACCATGAATATCATCATAGAAGTAACAGATGAAACAACGACAATGATGATTGTTAGAGTTGTATTGTTGTTCTTTCCTGCAAAAATTAAAAGTTTCTGGTTAAATCATGATAAATTTTGGATTTAAAAATGTTCCATATATATGGTTGTAAGTAAACACAAAATGTAGTAATAAAGATCCATACATTGAAAAACAAAATGATTGCTACTTAACAAGCCTTATCTAATCTAATTTGCGACATTAAAAATTTATGCTTGTTTTATCACTAATTTTCTGTTGAGAGTCTGCACTAACTCTCATTTTCTAGAATCTTGCACCAACTACTTGTTTTACACTCTATATTTGTTTCTTTGACATATCTGTCCCTTTTCAGATATTGCCCTCTTCATAATATCTTTTTAAGTATCATTTTAGACATTTTTGTAATAATAGAAAGAAATCGTGAGTAAGAGAGAGTGGAGTGTCGCTTGGGTCCACCCAAAAACTCAAGATCTTATATGTGTATCTGATGCATTTTTTTTTTATTGGCAAAGAAAATTTATGAGTAATGATAGGTATCATGAAAAAAATATGATCAAGATGATCATAAAAAATTCTTCACCATTAGATTACATATATAATAAAACAGCACACACAAATCAAAGGATAAAAAATCTTTATAAAATATTTCATGATATTTTTTTTTATAATCTCTAGTATTATTCAAAATTTATTAACTTGAGAATAAATTACATCGAGATAATAAGAAAAGAAGCTACCAATGCATATTAGTCTTTTTCGCACCCTCTATCTCATTCATGTGTGACTTTGTCCTACACGTGATGATGCTAACATTTAAACATGTTAAAGAAATGCAAAGGAAACATAGTGCAAATGAGGAAGCAAAATAATTTGGGATTTCTATAATTTAAGTTCTAATATAATTTTAAATCACCAGTTATCCTAAAAAATTTAAATTATTAAGAAATAAGATTAATAATGAATTCAAGGTCTCCCACAGTACCAAGCTTTTTCATGAGAGAAAAGATAAATATATATATAAAAGAAGGGACATGCTATTAAAAATTAGGTAGTTTACAATGATGTTTCGTGAGATTTGAGTAAAATATAATAAATTCTTAGTTTTTTCATAACTATAGTAACTTCTCTTAAATTTAAGAGGAAATATCATTTTGCAACACAAATTATTATGCAAAAATTAATTTGGCATCTAGATTTTGCATGATTTTGATTTGACCCCTAAATTTTTTAAAATTTGATCAATTTATCCCCTGTCGTCTGTTTTCATCTATAATCAAATGGAAATTGCTGGCGTAGCACCAAAGTTCATTTGGAACTTTATCCCGAAACAATACCTTAAAAATCAGTTAGTCCTCCAAATATAATTTAAAACAAAATTAAATTTTAAATAATATGTTTTGCAAAAAAATATATATAAAAAATATAAAAATTCTCATTTAGAATTACCTTTTTAAGTCTTAAATTATCTCGAGTCCATTTTAGAGAAACTAATTGAGCCAAAAATTTCTTGGCTACTTTATGTGCGTGCGCACGCAATTATAACTATTTTAATCCCCAAATTAATTTCAATAGAATTGATTGACTAATAGTAATTTCAAAATTGATTGGGTAAAAAAAATTTCAAATTCAATTACTATCTAAAGAATATTCAACAGGACTAAAAATCAATATTTTGAATTTAAATTTAATTTTTTCATTTTTAAGATGAAAAGTTACCTTGTTTGGTTTCAATTTTCTAAACAGGACAAACTAGATATTTTTTTTGTTTTTGATGTTTTTTTTATATTTTAAGAATTTTTTTTTTTTACTTTTTAGATACACATAACCTAGATATACCAAAAAAGTAAAATATTTTTAAAAAACCAATAAATACAAAGCATACTAGAATATACTAAATTTGTGTATATATATACATATATTGTATTATTTTTGGTATTTAGTGAATTTTTTAAATATTTTTTTACAAATATTATACTTTTTAATTGTATTTTTATTAAGTGTATCTAGAAACTAAAAGAAATATTAAAAATATTAAAAAAATTCAATGAAAATAAAAATATATAGAAAATAAAAAAAAACTCAATTTTCAAAAAATTGAATTCAGAAAAATAGAACAAAAGAAAAATGATTAATTAAATATTTAAATCTATTTTTTCAATATTTGAAGGGCTAATTGATTTTTAAGGTATAGTTTGGTGGGTAAAATAAAATTCAAATGAAATTTGGAGACACGCCAGAAAGTTTCGTTTGATTATAAACAGAAACAAATTAAGGAGGTAAATTAATCAAATTTTTAAAAAATTAGGAATTAAATTAAAATAATATGAAATATGAATGTCAAATTAATTTTTGAATAATAATTTAAAAGATAAAATGATATTTTTTTAAATTATGCCTTAATGGTTGTCATCCATGAAACATAACTAATGATGTCATACGCACTACCATATATAAGGGTTAAACCATATCTATTAAACAATAACAAGGTCAAGGATGATAAGGTTGCAAATAATATCGAATTATTATTCTAGTAAAAGTAAATCTACCATTGAAAACTGTTAACATGACAAATCGGATGTAATTCATCAAATATTATAGAACTTTTCATGTCGTATATTGGATCTCATTATTTTTCAATAGATCGTACATATAAATAGGTGTTTTTTACATTGGTAGGAAATCCCAGGAAAGCAATATATTAAAACTTTTTTCTTCTTATTTATCACTTCAATATTTTGTGGTAGAAATCTGCTAGTATTTTAAAGTTTTAGAAAAATGTTTGAAACATTTAATTTATCACTTTTAATAATGTATTTAACAAGTGTTAAATTTAGATTTGTTAAATATTTTATTATGTAAGGTCTAACCTCCACATCATTATTAGTGATTTAGAGATGATTAATTAAAAAATGTAATATTGTTGTAAATTTTAAAAGTAGGCAAATACTGCGTGCTAGATTTAAACATAAATCCAAACACAAAAGCACAAGTTAAAAGAACCCCTCTCAACTTTCACGTCATCAACTTTTTTTACAAATTCTTAAATTAAAATATATTATAATCAATTCATTATACCTGCTCCTATTGAGGTTGGTGGTGGTGGTGGTGGTGAGGCTGGGAGTGGTGGTGCTCCTGGTGGTGGTGCATCAGCTGGAATGGTATTAAAGAAACTGTAGGCCTCATACCGTAAATTACAGCTTGGTCTGACAACTCTCCCTCCTTTCTTCCCATCACAACATTTTGGAATATCTCCAGCCGCACCAAGCAGGCAATTAGTGCAATCCCGCTCAGTCAAATCAGGTGTGCACTGCACAAGTCCAAATATAGTTTGAAAATCCGGACCCGTTGTGTTTCCAGCATCGAACTTGCGAAAACCGCGAGACGACGCCGCTCGGTTTCGAAGGTTTTCCAACAAGGCCCTCAGGGCCTGATTGTATTGACTTGTGCTCGTCGAGTTATCAGCGTTCCACATCCAGAAACTGGGATTGTCTGTCCTAGTACCATTTATGGACTCGTTTGAGTATCGTAGCATACAATTGTCATACCAACCAATTGCCACCTTGTAGTTAGAACAAACCTGAGTGAGCTTAGTAATAGAGTCATTGATACAACTACGACATGCTTGAAGCTCAACATCTCCTCTGCAGAGCACAATTGCATTAGCTCTGTCGGGGTTTTGGCCGACTGAGGAGCTGTAGAACCCATATTTGTCGGTGTTGGAGGAGAGAGAGGAGAGGAGGGTGTTGAGATTTCTCTGGTATGTGCTATTGCTAGTGTAATTACCATTGTTTATGCAAAAGTGGAAAAGGAAGTCAGGCTGGGCAATGGTGAGAGCAACAAGGTTTATGAGGATGTAGGAAAGGAAGAGAAGCTGTTTGCAAGAAGCCATATGCGTTGCACAATTAGAATGATTGAAGTAATGGGTTGAGTTGAGTGCAATGTTGGTTTGGTTCTTACAGCTTTATACCAAAGTCCTAGACTCCCATGACAACATTCCTCAGCAAATTAAAAAATGAAGGGCTCAAACGAGGTAAAACAGGGGACAAGGGTGCAGCTGCTGTGCTGCCAAATTGGGCCTATCCCAGACCCATTACCATGATTCAAAACTTTCGTCTTTTAGGGCATGTTCAGTTTTATATAAAATATTAGACAGATTAGATATCAATAATCACATTTATTATTTATTTTCTTTTAAGAAATATGAATAAACCTAATTTTTGTAAAAATAACCTACTAAACAAGTCTTAAAAGATAAAGGTCTGTTTGGTAACGTTTATGTTTTCAGTTTATATTTACAAAAATTTTATAAACTGGTTTTTGTTTATTTTTTATTTATTTTTAGAAAAACATAAACTACAAACGCGTTTGGTAATTGACAAAATATTTAAAAAAAAATTGAAATATAAAAAAGAGTGAGAAATGGCAAGTGGTGGAAAGTGGCGGCGGAAGACGGTGATGGAAAATTGTGATGGTGGGTGGTGGGTAGCTGGTGGTTGTGGATGGGGGGGGGTGGGGAGGGGGGGGGGGGACGGGGGCGGGGTGGTGGGTATCTGCCGTTAAACATGACCGGCCGGCTGGCCATGAAGGTGGACGACTGGCCAATAAAAATTGGTCTGCCGGCTACTTGGGCCAGCAGGCCTCTGAGTGGTTAGGCTAGAAAAAAAATTAGGTTAACACTCTGTTTTGATCGAGAGGTGAAGTGAGAAAAGAAATGATTGAAAATAAGAAAATAATTGATTATGAACAACATTATGTTTTTGATGAATAAAAAGGAAGAGAATGTGGTTTCTCACTTATGTTGTTTAGATAAATTAGATAAGAGAAACGAAAGGAAAGTGTTATATTTTATTTTACCAAAATAACATTCCATATTAATAAGTTATCCTTTTTTATAAAGGTAATTTTGGTATTTTAAAAAACTTTCATTAAACTCAATTCCTTTTTCACAAAATCTCATCACTTTTGGTGAAAAACAAAACATAAGAATATTTTTCCCACCATCGCTTACCATTTCTCACCTACTTAACTATCCAAACAAGCTTCCCATCACAACAAGTCGGAATATCTCCTTCAGCATTAAGTAAACAATTACTGCATTCCCGCTCAGTTAAATCAGGCGTGCACTGCACAAGTCCAAATATAGTCTGAAAATCCGGACCCGTTGTGTTTGCAGCAGCGAACTTGCGAGGACCACTGGACGACGCAGCTTGGTTTCGAAGGTTATCCAACAAGGCCCTCAGGTCCTGTTTGAATTGATTTGTGCTCGTCGCATTTCCGGTGTTCCACATATAGATTTTGGGCCATTCCGTCAAAGTTCCATTTATGGACTCGTTTGAGTATCGTAGCATACACTCGTCATACCATATAATTGCCTCCTTGTAGTTAGGACAAAGTTGTATGAGCTTAGTAGTAGTGTCATTGATACAACTACGACATGTTTGGAGCTCAACATCTCCTCTACAGAGCACAATTGCATTAGCTCTGTCGGGGTTTTGGCCGACTGAGGAGCTGTAGAACCCGTATTTGTCGGTGTTGGAGGAGAGAGAGGAGAGGAGGGTGTTGAGATTTCTCTCGTATGTGCTATTGCTAATGTAATTACCATTGTTTGTGCAGAAGTAATTAGGCTGGGCAATGGTGTGACCAAAAAGGTTTATAAGAACGTAGAAAAGGAAGAGAAGCTGTTTGCAAGAAGCCATATGCAAGAAGCTGGAGTTAGGCCGTTGGAAGATCTTACAAGTTCAACTAAACTATTTGATCCACATTGTATACTAGAGAGAAGTCGCGATGTTATTGAGCCCAATCCCTCTCTAGTCCACGTTTGTGGATCAGACTGTCAAGCTAGGCTAGAGGGACAAACTACGGGTCCGATTTCAGTAAATAATTTATTCATTTTGTAAGTTCCAATGTATAGATATGAGGAAAATCAAATCGATACGATAATTGTAACCATATTTTCTGTTTATATTTTTCTTCAAACAAATAGACACTAAGAATGATTTTAAAAATAAATCAATTATTTGTTAAAAAGAAATATAATCATTTTTTTTTTCAAACAAATGAAGTAAGAATAAATTTAAAAATAAATTACCTATTTTTTTTAAAAAAAACAAATATAATGATTTAAAATGACTAAGAAAAATACTAGAAATTTCAAAAAAATTATTAAAATTTTTATCAGATATCTCAAAGAAATGTTACAAACCCTAAAAGACTAAAATTTCTTTCAAAATTTATAGGATTCATATTTTCAATCAAAAGTCAAGTTCCTTAACTCTTTTTTTTTTTTTTTTAAGGCAAAAGTGAGCGATTAATTGTTAGATTAGCACTTTAAAAGAGTTGAAACTCACACTCATACACCTTTTAAGAAAATTTTATTCTTCCATTCCACTCCTAAGAGTAAAACTCAAGGCCTCCCTCTTAGACTGTGTTTGGTTTATGAGTTTAGAGAGTGATTTGGAAAAAGAAATGAGAAGATGCGTGAAACTAAATGAAATGTAAGTATATTTTTATTTACATTTCACTGTCCTTTTTCCTTTGTCCACTATAAAAAATTAGATTTTAGAGACTAAAATTTAGGAACAAAATTATTTTTTAAGAACCAAATATTTTTGTTGCAAAAAGTGTCGTTATTATATTTTTAGCAACAAAAATTAAACATTAGTGATAAATTATTATCTTTTTTAGACCAAATTTTTTGTCTCAAAAAATAAATCATTTTTAGACCTAATTATTTTGTCCGTAAAAGTATATTTATTAGTGACATTTTTAAAATTTTATCGTTAAAGACCAAAAAATTGGTCTTTAAATGTCTTTTGTAATAAAATTTTCACTTTTAAAAATCAAAAAATTTGATCTCTAAAACTTTTATATATTGTAGTGGTCTTTCCATATCCCTCTTCAAATCCTTGAACCAAACACAACCTTAACACTCTACTTGGATCGAGAGGTGAAGTGAGAAAAGATTTCTCACATAGGTTAGAAAAGAAAAAAAAAATGATTATGATTTCTCAACATTATGTTTTGATGAATATAGGAGAAGAAAATGTGATTTGTTACTTATCTTGTTTGGATAAAATAAATAAAAAAATAAATAAAAAATAAAAAGAAGAAAAGAAAGTGTTGTATTTTATTTTATCAAAATAACATTCCATATTAATAAGTTATCTTTTTTTATAAAGGTAATTTTTATATTTTAGAAAAATTTTATTAAACTCAATTCTTTTCTCACAAAATCTTATCATTTTTTATGAGAAACAAAACACAAATTTAATGAAAATCTTTTTCTCACCATCTCTTATTATTTCTCATCATTTCTCACTTACTTAACTATTCAAACAAGTAAAAAAAAAATATGTTCTTGCCAATTTTTTTCTTTTTTCTTTTCTTCCCATGAATCTGCTCTATCAAAACGGATTGTATGTGAAATTTAGGACTAGCCAATTAGAGAGCGACTCCTTTGCGACACATGTTTCGAAGATTTAAGGCTCCGTTTGTTTTAGGCTATAGGGAGGGTATTGGGAATAGTAATACTAAGGTATTACTAATGCCTTTGTTTGTTTGCAGAGATAGTTTTGGAACTATTAGTCCCTTGGTATTACTAATACCCTTGGAAGGGGGATTGGTAAGGAGGAAGTAGAGATGGTATTAGAAAATAGTGAGGGGATTAAAAAAAATTATTTTTTATATATTGGGAATTTTTTTTAAATATAATGTTTAATTTTTTATATTTTTTTATTTGTTTTATTATTTTACATAAAAATAATTTAACAATTCCTCATTATTAATCCCCTCACTATCAATCCCCTCACTATTAATCTCCTCACTATCAATCCCTTCCATTCTATCTCCCAAAACAAACGGGGCCTAAGGGCAAATTACATATACCTCTCGAGATTTAGGTCTCGTTTGGGAACAAGCTAATTTAGTAACTTTTTTGTTATTTGGCTAAAATATGAGCTAAAAAAAAACTAGTATGTTTGGGATAATTTTTTGACTTTTTACGAAAAGATGTGCAAAAAGTAGAGAGAAAATAGAATTTTTGACTTTTTAGTATATGTTGTTGGCTTTTTGACTAATTTAGTAACTTTTTAACTTTTTGACTAAAAGAAAGGATTCCCAAACGAGACCTTAGTAAAACTATAGATACTTCCTGAAGGTTATATTTGCATAATAAATTAAGAGATAAATTGTTATGAAAATATAAACTGCAGAGGATAATTTGTTATGAAAATATAAAACTCAAAAAATATTTATAATTTTCAAAATCTCAAAAATATCTATAATTTAATTAAATCTTGTGAGAGGTATATATAATTTTTCAAAGATTTAAAAGTTCTTGGTCAAGAGCGTAGATTGCGTTGGACGATTCAAAGTTCTAGGTTAAGAGCGTGTTCAAAGTTCTAGGTTAAGAGCGTGGATTGATTAATCCTATTCGTATTATGACACTGGTTTGAAAGATTCAAAGTTTTTGGTTGATTAATATTCTAACCGTAATAGTAACCGCGTAAGTAAATGAAAGTTTTGAACGGAAACAAAAAGTTGATTGGGACAGGACTGGTAATGAACATGTGTGGTTGGCCAACAACTGATGGGACGCAATTTCGCACGACTTCCAACATCTTGACTTAAAGACCTTTTTTTTTTAATTTTTTATTTTTTATTTTACGGACTTGACTCAAAGGGTTTGTTTGGTTTGTATTTGAAAAACATGTTTTAAGATAAAAAGTACGAAAATTTGTTTGGTTTATTTTTTTTTTCAAAAGATGTTTTGAAAAATTATTTTGAGAGAGAGTTTTGAAAAAAGTGATTGATTTGATGTGTATGAGAGAAAGATTTATTTGGAAAACTTATAAACTAAACAAGTTTTGAAAAAAAAATTTACAAAAATTTGTTTGATTTGATTACTTTTAAAAATTTATTTAAAAATAATTTTTTTCAAAATTTTTTAAAAAACACAAACCATTTCTCAAAGTAAAATTTTTGAAAACTTACGTTTGTTTGGCTGAGTTTTGACAATATGTTTTTAATTTTTTTTTAATTATTAGTTCCACATAAGAAAATTTTATCCATAAATTTTATTTTAAGAAATGGTGATTTATTTAGGTTTATTTTGGTAAAAAAAAAAATCACATTTTTTTTCTGAATTTTCTTTAGTTTTTTTTTTTTCAAATTATATCAACTTTTTTAACTTTTTTAGTCAATTTTGTCAAGACGAATTCAAAAAGTATATTTTTTAAAAAAAATTAAAAAAAATACTAAAGACGAAAATAAGTCAAAAAAGATTGCTTATTTTTATCTTTTTTCAATATTTTTTGTTTTTTTTAAAAAAAATTAATTTTTCAATTTTTCTTGTCGAGTTAAATAGAAATCTAAAATTTTATTAATTTTTTTTTAAAAAGTTCACTAAAAACGAAATAAGGCAAAAAAAAAAAAATATATATATAATATATATTATATATACCAAAAAATATCCATCCCAAAACAGCCCTAATTTCAAAAATTTTTTTTATAGATCATTTAGGCCTCGTTTGGGAACAGGCTAATTTAGTAACTTTTTGGCTATTTGGCTAAAAAGGTAGGTAAAAAAAACTTGTATGTTTGGGATGACTTTTTGGCTAATTACGAAAAGATGTGCAAAAAGTAGTGAGAAAAGAGAATCTTTGACTTTTTGGTATGGGTTGTTGACTTTTTGGCTAATTTAGTAACTTTTTGACTAATTAACTAAAATAGCCTCTTGCCAAACGAGGCCTTAGTTCCATTCATTTTGATATGGTAGATTTGATATATTTATTGGTATATGAGTTTACAGTTATACCCTTGATCTTAGCGTGGGTTGCTTTTGTTTCTCTTACGCTGGAAAGATAAGATTCATTCGCAATGCATTTCTCTGGAAGATTTGATTGACCAAATCTCGGATGGTGTGGAGCGGTTCCCTTCCGAAATAAAAATTTAACCCCCAACACTAGAAATTCACAAAAAGTAGATGACCGATATTGTAACAAAATCCACATTCAACAATTCTCACATCTCATATTAACGAGTTATTTAGGCCTAGTTTGGAAAGACTAAATAAGTGTACTTTTTGACTTTTTTTGTATTATGTGTAAAAAAAGTAGAGAGGAGATGTTGATTGATCTGACCTAAAAAAGATAAAAAGATGAAATAAGTGCACTTTTTTTTGCAGTAGCCAAACTAGGCCTTAGAATGACTTAAATAAGTATATTTTTTATTTTTTTATAAAAAGATGTGCAGAAAAGTAGAGAGATAATGTGATGAAAAAAGATAAAAAGATAAATTATTTTACAATTGCCAAACTTGGCCTTAGTTTGTTTGGTATAATCTATAAAAAAAAAAATAATAATAAAATAAAAAAAAGTCAAAAAATTATTAAAAAAGTCAAAAAGTTATCACTATTCACAAAAAAAGATATAAAAACAACAAATTTACATAGGAAAAAAGTACAAGCCAACTGTGGCCACTGTAGTGATGGTACACTGTGAAGTGATGGTATAAATTTACACAGGCGGTGCACAAAAAAAGTTACACAGGACAATGCTCGTGGAAGCCAATCACGGGTTTCATTTTGATAATCTGAATCGTGTAATGTGTAGAACTTGTCGAGTACTATATATCTATAAAAAATCATGTTGATCGGATATCGATAGCTATATGATCAAATCAGTTTTGTATAAAAAAA